GAGGTGACTGCTTTAGGCCTTATAATGCTTTCCTCAGTTTACACACCTTTCTATCAAAGTCGTAGCCTGGTGGAGGGTCCATAAATACCTCTTCATGAAGTTCACCATTTAGGAAGGCATTCTTCACATCCAGCTGATGGAGTTCCCATGAAAAATTTGCTGCTAATGATAGTAAAACCCGAATTGTATTGAGCTTCGCTACTGGACCAAAGGTTTCTTAGTAGTCAATCTCTTCTTTTTGAGTAAACCCCTTTGCCACAAGCCGGGCCTTGTACCTTTCAATGGACCCRTCCTCCCTMTGCTTTACAGTGAACACCCACTTGCACCCGACAGTGCTCTTCCCTTCTGGCAGATCCACTAATTCCCAAGTCCTTGCTTTCATTAAAACTTTCATCTCTTCATTCATAGTTTCTTTCCACCTTGGGTCAGACACAGCTTCTGAGTACCTAGAAGGAACATGTACAGAAGAAAGAGCAGACACAAAGGAGTGATAGGATGGAGATAAACGTGAGTAAGAAACAAAATCAGCAATGGGGTGCCGAGTAGTACAAGAACGGATAGGCTTACGAAGAACAATAGGAAGATCCAAATCAGAAGTATGTGTGTTGGGATTACCTTGGATTGCGGAGACAGATTGATCCGAGTCCAATTGGTTGTTGTCATGAGTTTGAGGGCCCTTTTTACTTCTGTTGTAGGTGATTCATATATCTTTCTATTGTCTACTAGAGCCCTTAGGAACATCTGCAGTATCAAAAGAGGTAGCAGGCACAGTGGGAGCCTCATTAGGTTCACCAGGGATGTCACAACTAGGAGGAGTAGAAGGAGAGGATGGAAGGCCCGAGGCAGATAGAGGAACAAAAAAGAAAGGAGAATAAGAATCCTCTTCCATCCCACTAGTCTCCCCYTGAAGAGGATTCTGGGAAGACTGAAAGTAGGGTTGAGACTCAAAAASGACYACATCTCTSRTGACATACTTTCTCTTGGTGGCAGGATCATAACACTTGTAACCCTTTTGTGTAGGAGGGTACCCCAAAAAAATTCCTTTCGTAGCCCTAGGATCCAACTTGGTCTTCTTTGGATCTTTTACATGTATAAAACATACATAACCAAAGACCCTAGGAGGAAGAGGAAAGTCTGGAAGGGTAGGACACAGAACAGAGAAAGGGGTTTTCATACCCAACACCTTAGATGGCATCCAATTTATCAGATATGATGTAGTAAGTACTGCTTGAGACCAGTAGTGCTTGGGAACCTTGTGCTGGAATAGTAAGGCTCGAGTTGTCTCCAATAGATGTCTATTCTTGCGCTCAGCAACCCCATTCTGTTGAGGGGTATTAGTATAAGATGATTGATGAAGCATGCCAGCATCTTCCATGAACAAGTTCAAGGATTTTTCAAAATATTCAGCAGCATTATCTGACCGGAATTGCTTAATCTTCTTGTCAARTTGTGTTTCAATCATTTTGCAAAATGCCATGGTTATCTGTGGCACTTCATCTCGTCCTTTTAACAGGTAGATCCATATGCATCAAGAGTAGTGGTCAATAAAACTGATAAAGTAACGAAAGCCATCAATAGAAACAATAGGTAAAGGGCCCCAAACATCAGTATGAACCAAATCAAAAGGAGCTTGAATTTCATTACTAGAAACTGGATAAACAGTTCTACATTGTTTTGACAGTTGACACACTTCACAGGCTAAACTCTAACTTGAAATGCCGTTAAACAATTCGGGAAATAGCACTTGCAATGAAGAAAAAGGTAAATGACCTAGCCTAGCATGTCACAGATGCAACCTAGCTATTGACACCACATTCTCTAGACCACTAGCAGCAGATGCTTGTAAGGCTGAACCGATGTCTACATCAAAATAGTAGAGGCCTCCATACTCATGACCGCTTTCAATCGTTCTCCTCGTCAATTTGTCCTGAAAGGCACAATGAGTAGGAAAGAAGGTTATGCTATAGTTCAAATTTTTGGTAAGTTTTAAAACAGACAAAAGGTTTGAGGTAAGACTAGGAACATGCAAAACTGATTTAAGAGAGAGGTCCTTGTTTAGGTCAACCACCCCTTTGCTAGAGATGGTGGAGAAAGACCCGTCAGCGACTCTCATCTTATCCTGACCGAGAGGAGGAAGCAAAAGAGTTACTCCTTAGATGGGTTAAAGCCCAGCTAAGGACCTCTACCTCATCAGCAGTGAAGCCCAAGGTACCAGCTCCGGAGGAATTAGCAACCTGCCCCATGGAAGAAGAAGCCACTGTTGGTATACTCTGTGAGCTATCACCATTGTTACTAGTGACAAGGTTCTCACTTGCCGCTTGACCCTTCTGTCCCTTCTTGTCTTTTCTCAATGCAACTGGCTTCAAGTGAGGATACAGGACCCAACACTTTTCTTTTACATGTCTTTCACCTCCACAATGAGTGCATTTAAGATGCCTTTTGTCTGGATATATGTTCCCCTTTTGATTTGTAGAAATCAGGGCTGAATGTTCCATAGATTGTTCAACTGGTTGCTTCTGAGTGTCAACTTGCATCTCCTTTCTCCTGACCTCTTCATTCCTTACCAGATAATAAATATGATGTAACTCAGGCATTTCATCTCTTCCAAGAATTTGTGACCTTATGCCCTCATACACTGGGTCCAGGCCAGCCAAGAACTTAAAGGCTCTGCTCTCTTCAATCTGCTTATCATGTCTCTCATTGTCCCCGGCATTCTCCCAATCCATAATCAAGTGGTGATCAAGCTCTTCCCATAGTCCTTCCAAAGTTGCAAAATATGTTGCAACTGTCATATCCCCTTGCCTTAAAGCAGTAATGTCTTGGTTCAACCCATAAATTCTAGCATTGTTTTTCTTCTGTCCATAGGTTTTTGACACTTTTTCCCAAATCTTAGCTGCTGTGGGAAAGTGTTGAACAGTCATGGCAACTCGAGGAGTCATAGAAGCAAGCAGCCAGGACATAACTGTGGCATTCTCCTTGTGCCACACTGCCAACTTCAGGTTCCTTCTTCTTCCCATCTAAATACCCTGTGAGTTCACGGGAAGTAATAAAAAGCTTTGCAGAAACAGGCCACTCCCTGAAAGTTGTATTCATCCAGCAACACACTTGTAATCTGCAAGCTGTGCAGATTCGGGTTCTCTAGATTTGAAGACCTCTCACCAGGTCTGTTATCCCTAGAAGAGACCTCTCCGGAAATTGAAGACATCTTGGATGCAGACTTTGTGTAGATAACACTGTTTCAGAATAGCCGATGTGGTCATAGTTCTGAAGTGGACTAGTTACAGCACCAAGAAGAATTCTGTGAGCAAGTAACCGACTTGAAACTGAGAGCACTCCACCACTGCACTATGCAGACTTCACTTGTGCTTCAACTTCTGCAACTGTAGAGAGGGCTCACCCCTACGACCAATACTAGGACTGCTGAAATCAGTCCTCAACCTAGGTCTGTCCTATACAGACCTCTCTTAATAGCCGAATGGCTACTAACAACTAGAAGCAATCTAATAGGGCATCAACTTCTGGGTCTTACTTCCCTTGTGCCCTACAACCAAGAGAAACCCTAGGTTCGAACCCTGTTCTGTTCTACAGCAACCCTAGGGTTTTTTCTGCAGCAACCAAGAAAGAAAAAGGAGAGAAACCAAGCAAGAGAGAAAAGATGGCGTCGGCTATAACCAGAAGATCGCTCAATGCTCTGATACCATGTTTGCTGAAAGATTGTAGCTGAAGTAGTAGAAGAGAGGTGAAGGCAAACAAGTGCTGAGAATGTCAAACTGAGTAACCCAGTCAACAGTACTATTATTTATAGTAGATTACAATACAGTGTTACATGAAATGTCTGGAATGCCCCTGATTAGTGATGGGACACCCAAACTGCTTAAAACACTAAACAGACTTAGGTCCAATAACAAAGGCCCAGTACCTAACAGCTTAGAACCCAATACAAACTAACATGTACACTTATCAGCCGAACCAACAATACATAAAAACAGTCAACTTAACATCCTCATCAGTATAAATGACCAAATTTCATGATTTAAATGTTGTTTTCACTTTATATTGTTGGGTCAGTTCTGAATTCCGTTGGAATTGGGAATCAGAATCCTGGTGAGCCTAACAATATACCATCCAATACACCTAAGAGTAATTGTCTGTTTTCTGGAGCAATTGTTTTCATGTAGATATCCAAATTGTAGTGATGATTGTCATGGTCTGCAGTCGAATAGTTCAAATTCCACTCAAGACATTGAAACAGAAGCAACTCATAGTCATGGCATTGTTGATGGCAGAACACTATCTGGAAATCAAGCACAGCATGGGCATACATTTCTAAATCACCAATTTCAATTGGAAGCGGTTGCAGTGCCTTTTCCTTTACTTAATATGGTAGTCTCCTGCTTCCTCTTTCACACTGTTTGCATGTAAAAAGAGCAGAAAGTGGCTTAAGTAAAATTTGGTTATTCTTAATTCATTTTCTGTTGGTCCTCCATTCTCTTGACATGTTAATATAGTCCCCCATTTTCTGTTACTGCTCTAGTTAGAAAAAGTGATTTGTTACACATTAAGGGGCTAGAAGAGCTTGGGGTAGGCCAACAAGGACATGGGTAGAAGTAGTAAGAAATTATTTAGAATGAGTTTGTTTTTGGTGTAAATGTGAATAGACGTAAAACTCCACTGCTGGTTCGCATTTGTTTTCATTGTAAGGTTTTCCCCATCGGTTGAGTTCTACATTGATAATCGATGTAAATAATACATCGATTTTATCGATGTACTTTTACATCGATTATCACATTTAGAAAAGTTCCAACGGTTCACTAAATTTTAAACCCATCGGTGTTGAACTCCATAGGTGGAGTTCACACTGAAAACAAATGCAGCCTTAAGAAGATATGGATTTAAATAGAACGGAATGAAAAAACAGGATTCGTGTAACTAACCCCATATAGTTGGGATAAGGCATGGATGATGATGATCAGGGCAGGGCCAATACGATACAATATGCCTGATACACCCCAGTATGTGATGAAATTTGGAACCTTGGTTTGAGTTAAAAGAAACATCATCAACTAAGGGCGTTCGTTTCCTCTTAACTCTTATCTCTTAAAATGAATCTTTTTACTTTAAGAGAAAATTGGTTGTTCATTTCCTCTTATCTCTTATCTCTTAAAGTGCAATCATACAACTTTTTGTTTTCCATTGATACCCTCAAAAATGCAAACAAAAACTCTCATATAAGGGATCAAAATGGATATTTGATAGTTTTCAGAATTCAGAATTCAGAACAACATTCTCTGCATTCACAGTTCAGAGGAGAGAAAAGTTCACCAATACCAATATACCTCTTAATGTAATTATTACACTTTTAGATGTCAGACTTCAGAGCAAACGAACAGGCCCTAATTCAGAGGTGGCTCTACAATTTCATCAAGGGTTGTTTTTAGGATCTAACCAAAGCCATGATCCTGAGTGGTCCAAAGCTGTTCTTTGGGATTAGGCCGGGGAGGTTCACAACTGAAGGTGAGCTGCCTCCATTTGTATTGTATCTGTTGAAAGGTAGGAAAGTTCTTGCTTTTTTCACCCAAAACCTCTCAGCAATGTACCCTGACCGGTGTTGCCTGGACTTACTTTAAGTACACTTTTGGGTGGATCTATACCAAAGGCCCATTCCTATGGATTGCCACAAGCATTCATTGTATTCCTTTGCTAATAATTAACCTAGTTTTTACCTACTTGTTGGAGGCTTGGAGCTAGTACAATTCTTTATTGCCTAATTTGTGCTTCAGCTGACGAGCCTGAAATTAGGCTATGTAGATTGATAAAACACATTTTCCCAATGTAGCTATGCAAGGGGACTGCCCTAGAAGACTCTACTTCATATTATGGAGCTTGACTTTTTTTCTTTATTTGATTTTTGTGGTACCTTGTCAAGCCTAAAAGCATTTGGCTGGTTCAATCTCTTAATATGCTCAGAGGAGAAGCAAGCAGGTAAATCCTCAAGCAAAAGATGGCAGTGGAACATCTGGTGTCACTCCTGTCAATCAAAACCAGCAAAACATTGCTGATGCTCTAACATGTTTTGCAATCTTTTATCTCAGGGCTTCAATGCAAATGGGACAGGTGCAAATAGCACTTCGGTGCAACCTCCTGTACTTGGGCAGATTATGGAGAGTGTGCCTTTGCAAAGGCAAGGCTTGGGTGGACAAGTTGATGCAGCAGGTGTGATTTTTCAGGTTCTAAATAGGCCTGTTTTGGATGGTCTATTGGCTGGGATTCCGGAGAAAGTGGGGATTGGTTCACCTGATAACATGAGGAATATGTTGGAACAGTTTACACAGAGCCCAGCAATGAGGAATACACTCAATCAGGTTGTCCAACAAGTGGAAAACCAAGGTATTGGTCACATATTTTCAGGAATAGGAAGTGATTAAGTTATCGACTTGTCTAGGATGGTTCAACAGATGATGCCAATTGTATCTCAATCTTTCACAAGGGGATCAACTCAACATGAAAAAGTACACTCCTATTATCCTGAAAATCAGCCATGGAACAATGAAAGAAGACCAGGCATAGAGGACAAACCATATTATCAGAATTCTCAGGTATGTCTATAATGTGCTTTCCTCTTCCTGTTAGCTAAGGCATGCCTGTCTCTGAACTTCAAGCACCCTTGTCGGGATTTTAGAGAAAAGGAACAGGGATCAACAAAGGTCAAATACTGTTAAAACTTTGGTATAATAGAAACTGGTTGGAGACCACATTTCTGCTCAGGATTTTTTTCATCAATAACAGCCAGATATGCATGTATTGATAATGGAAAAAGAAAGACCTCTGCAAAACAGCAACACAAACAGTAGGGAGCATAAGCATCTAATATACAAAACATCATAAAGCTGACCAGTACAAGGTTGGATCTCCCAACCCCTCCTTTAGCAAGCAAGTCAGCTTGAAAGCTGGGGAATCTCCAAACATATGTAACTAAACAATCTGTTCAGGATAGAATCTAAACCTGAAAGATGGGGGGGCTCACCACATTCAGATGTAACTAAACAATATATAGATATATCTTGCTCATTTAGATGACTAATATGAAACAAAATGCCTATGTGTTTTGGCTTTTTTGAGCTTTTTGTATCATAGATCTTTATTGGAGGTAAGATAAAGATTCTATTCTAGGACATAGATGTATCCTTTATACATAATAGCATGTGGTATAAACTGTAAACATGCTATAATTGGAGATAAATCTGCACTCAGGATCGTTAGTTTGTCTGTTATTTTATGCTCTGCACTTTATTTTAGTTATTATTAAATAAAACAGAGCATGGGTCCTGATTATAATATGTAGGAAATTCTGGTAAACAACGAGTTTATGCAACTGTTGGTTTGCTTTACCCTACAGCAAGGACTCATGAGACGATGTGTCTAGCTTTGACTTATCATGGGTCCCGCCACTTGGCAAGTCAGCAGGGTGTAAAACCCAATAGTTGCATAAACTCGTTTAGTAGTATTTCTCGCTTATTTCTGCAAATATTAATTATGTCCACATTATAAAATGCATGTTATATTCAGAATCCTACGAGGAGATGAAAATTTGTTATATGACTTGTGAAAAGAACCATCATCACTGACTTTTTAGGGATGGCAATGGGGGTGGGTTTCGTAAATTTTAGATGTTATCGGTCTTACTAAACCTCCCAATTTGTATTTTGAGAATCTAAATTTTCCTTGTACATGAAAATGCAAAACTCTTTCTGACCCTCCCTGCATTCAAGAGTAATGTGGGTTGAGTTTAGAATTTATATCTAAATTTTTATTATTTCTTGTTATGTGTAAGCTATAAATGTTATAAAAACTGACCTTGAATCAGAACCGTTCTGATCACCGGTTTCTAGGTTGACAATTCGACCATCGAGTTCAAACGGACAGCCCGTTTTGACAAAAATTAAAAAAAATAATAATTAAAATAGAAGGCCAAAAACCATTGAACGGGTTGACAGATTGACCACCCGGGTCAATAGGTTGTTGACCAATTCAATGGTTTTTGACCAAGGACTGGGTTTGGGGTAAAATAGAACCGGTTGCCAACTATCAATTATCTTTCACATAAAATTCAAAATATTATTAAATTCAACACCTAATACATAAAGTTTGTATGTTTTCTAACAATATGCTGATCAGGGAGGGTTGGGTTTAGCCTAAAACCATACCCTACCCCAAGGTTCAAAGTATTGTTACGTACTAGCCCATATCGGCCGATACGTATCGTTCCGGGACCCTTCCGATACGATCCTACAGTCGGTGTATCGGGGGTCTGACCGGTTCAGGGGATGGAGGGGACCTAGACCGGCTCCCCTGAACCAGTTTTGAAAAAATAAATAAATAAAAAGTAAAAAAATGAGTACTGAAACACTCGATACACCCCTACCGGCATATCGGATGTATCGATATTTTGAACCTTGCCCTACCCGGGTTGTAAAATCTCATAACCTGTCCTTCAAGCAAAAGAACTTGTCATATCGGAGTGAATACCCACTGGATGGGCAAAAATTACCATCCCTATGATTTTTAAATAAAATCATGATTTTACCCCTTTTTGATGCCTGATGTATGGAGTGTGAATCCTTAAAATGATTTCTTTCGGCCCTTGCTTATTGGTAGCTTTAACAGTACATCATCAACGCATAAGGTATTATGGTTTAATTTAGGGATGCATATCGATCGGATTTGAATCAGGTTATATTCGAATCCAATCCAAGGTTCAAAATATCAATACGTCGGTAGGGGCGTATCGGGCGTTTCAATACTCATTTTTTTACCTTCTTTTTTTTTCAAAACTGGTTTAGGGGAGCCGGTCTAGGACCCCTCCATCCCCTGAATCGATTAGACCCCCGATACACCCAATGTAGGGGCGTATCAGAAGGGTCCCAGAACGATATCGACCGATACGTAACGATACTTTGAACTTTGATCCAATCCAACACTATTCATGTCGGATCCAATCCGATCTGAAGATTCAATTGGATTTGATATGCCTCGATTTGAATTTGAATCCTATCAATAAGTCGGATCTTTGGATTTGATCCAATCCGACTTGTTTTCTTTAAAGATTAATAAATTATTAAAAGAAAATAAAATATACCAATTTAAATAAAAAACAAAATATATAAGTATTTTTTTTAATTATTTTCATCATATACATACATGTTCTTATAAAAAAATAAATAGTAAAACAAATTTATAAAAATACAATATAAATAATATTGTCAACACAAATTTCGTGTATTTCAATTAGTACAAAATATGGAGACAAATTACAAAAATAAATTTGTAATAAAGAAAACAAACAAGGGAATGAACTCTCTTTGATTTCTGCTCAATGACGTGAGCAACCTCTGATTGACGGTCGAATTTGGTGAAGACGAGGGTTGTTGGCGTGTTTCTCGTACTTTTTGAAGTGTTGATGTAGATTTCCTTGATTTTGGTGCTTTGGGAGATTTGGTGTAGATTTCTTCACTCCGAGCTTCGCACTTGATCGGCTGTGAAGGATGCTTCTCTAAGAAGGGTCATTTTGTAGTGGCTTGATCTTCTTTGGAGA